TATCTTGTTCTGTTATTTCTCATTCCAGCAAATCTTAAACCATATTTTGGATGACATTGAGTTTTTTATCACAAAGCTCCAAAAAGCAGCTGAAGCATTTTCTGAGCTTTCTAAAAGGAAGAAAAGCAAGAAAAGTAAAAGGAAAGGACCTGGAGGTGAGTGAGCAGGCCGGCGGGTGAGTGGGCGAGCTGCCAGGTGGGAGGGCAGGCAGGAGGGCAGGCTGACAAGCCGGCAAGCAGGCAAGTGGGGGAGCGGGCTTCCCCAGTCTAAGGCTGTCAGACTCCAAACAAGTGGGTGTCCCCAGTCTAAGGCTGTCGGACTCACGGTGAGTGGGCTTCCCCAGTCTAAAGGCGTTAGACTTATGCAGTGAATGGACTTCCTTGCCCTAAGGCTCTCAGACCCCAAGTAAGTGGGCTTCCTTATTCAGGGTTATCAGACCCACAGTGAGTGGGGCCTTCCTTACTCTTGAGCTGTCAGACCAGAGGTGTAAGGTTCCTTACTCTTGTACTATGAGAACTTCAGGGCTGGATGAGCTTGGGTCCTGGGAAATGGTTACATTGCCCTGATCTTGGACCAAGGCCCTGTAGCTTCGGGCACCATTGAAAGTTCAAGTGGTGCGGGAAGAGTATGTTACAGGCTGGCTGTGCCTTTAAGTCTTGTGACTCTGAGATTAGGTGGTAGCCACCCGTCTGCAGTTTTTGCAAGTAGTTAAAAGTTAGTTTCTGCTCATAACACTCATCTTTTCCGTAGAGTTCTTTCATTGTAGATATGAAACCTTTTTTAACATTAAAACTTGACTTCTTTCATCCGAGTATTTTAAAATACCAGTGGATTTGAATCTGTTGTAAAACCCTCCAATTCTTCATTCACATTCATAGTTGCTCAGAAGCAATTCTGAAGCTCGGTGCTGAACTGCCAGCACTCGGAAAGCTGATGCAGGAGGATTATTCTTAGTTATATCAGACAACCTGGGATAGCAGACCTTATTTAAAAAAAATAATACTAAATGAAAATCAATGGCTTTGGATGTGTAAAAGTATAAATGTCAGGGTCGTTTATGTTTCCTCTGGCAAATGACACAATTGAATATATAAAAGAATAGGTCAGGTCTTGTCCATTACAGCTGACTTCAAATCTTGCTGTAGTTCCTGTCTGTATAGTGAGAGTGTACGGCCTTCAGTGTTGTCCTGGGCGTAGACACTTAGATGTTCCTCTCCTCCACTCGTTCTGAATGAGGTGTTCTGTGGTGTTTCAAGCCCTCTCTTCCATTTGTTTCATGGCCTATGCTTTCCTCCCGGTTATCAATGCTCGGAACCAAAACCTCTCTGGTTTCCTACTTTCCCAATGTCATCTGTACACATTTTTTCCATTCTCATAATTGGCATCTAGTTGGAAACTGTCATCACTCTTAACCCAGCTTGAAAGCAGTTTTCAACCCCCTAGTCTTCTGTACTGTAAGGAGAACCAGTCAATCAATCAGTCAGTCAATCAGTTAATCGATCAACCAACCTTTGAGAGAGGGTCTCACACAGCTGGTCTCAAAGTTGCTATAAAGCCAAGGATGACCTTGGACTCCTGGTCCTTCTGGGTCCACTTGTTGTGGGGTTACAGGTATGCCACAGCCAACAGGATAGCCTTCATAGTGTTCTAAGTTGGAGTCCTCAGACTTCTGCCGTGAAGTGCATGTCCTTCTGTGGACTACTGATTGAAATGTCACTTCTTACCTTGACATTCAAGGTCACCCACAAACTAAACAATGTCCCCTCTCCAATCACACATTTCTCTGGATTTATATTTCGTGTTTTGTGTACACCCAATTTCTCTGTTACTCCATGTGTTCTTTTAATCTTAGCTTGTTATTTCCACAAACTGGAGGGAGGTGGACAGAGCTTTTCAAATCCTTTTAAAAGTTACTTGGTGCATGCCTTTCATTCCAGCATGCAAGGCAGAGGCAGGCTGCTCTCTGTGGGTTTGAGAGCAATCTGGTCTATAGAGAAAATTCCAGGAGAGCAGGAAAAATATCTCTCTCTCTCTCTCTCTCTCTCTCTCTCTCTCTCCCTCTCCCTCTCCCTCTCCCTCTCCCTCCCTCCCTCCCTCCCCCCCCACAACAAGTTCCCTGAAAAAACTTTGATTTTTTTTATGTCCCCCATTTCCCAAGCAGTATACTCTCCTGTCGTAGTGCTTAAATGTGACACCTGTTACACTTCTGATTCATTTCCTCGGTTATTTTTCAGGGTCATTAAAAGAAGGGCTTGTCACTTACTCAGTTTTATAGTCTTTATAATGATCTCAAGAAGTCCTGGAACATATGAAGACTTCACGTCATATTTGTAGAATTGACTGAGTCACTGGGAGTGCCAAAGAGTAGAGGAGTCCATTCAAACTTAGGATCTTCTTAATTTATTGAAATAAGAGATGTTGTAGAGTGAAGGCCTCTATCTGGCATAATCTTCCAGCTGTGGATGCATATGTAGTTTTTTCCCTCATTTAGTAAACTTCCTTGTGAATCTGTTCTCACCTGTTCCCTGCTCTTTTTTTTTTTTTTTAATGTTATTAGAGGGTGTTTTAACACTGAGGGCAAAACCGCCACCTCCTGATGAATTTATTGACTGTTTCCAGAAGTTTAAACACGGATTCAACCTTCTGGTAGGTGCACTTCATTGTTATATAATAGGACAAACAGAGGATCAAAGTCTAGCCAAATGTTCCTAAAATTCAATTAAGAGATACAGTTGTCCCTGTAGACTTGTGGGTGTATGCTTTGACTGGCCTTACATGAAAACATCAGATTGAAAGCCATGCACGTCAAAGAGACGTGGCTAAAAAGCAATGCCCGTATTTCTTGGCTCTCTCTTCCCTTCATTCACCCCATGCTGATGGGGCCCCTCTAAGGAGAAGTGTTAGGAAAGAAGTCTCCATCCGTGTCTGCATCGGACTGTTCTTTGAGTATCTACCCTTGGGGTGATTGCCTTGTGGTAACGTATTTGTTTTCTTTCTGTCACAGGCCAAGCTGAAGTCCCATATCCAGAACCCGAGTGCTTCCGATCTGGTTCATTTTTTGTTTACTCCACTAAATATGGTGAGCATATTTATGAATGAAACAAAGCAATCATTCTCAGTGTCTTCCATCCAAGGGTCTGAATAACTTAAGTGTGTTTCTTAGACTACCTTACATAGGTCCTGTTTCTCTTAGCATGTGTGCAGACTCTGTGAACGTGAAGTTTTGAGAGTTTAAAAGGACGCATACCTCACTTATGACTGGGGACGTGGCACACACATGTGCCCATTAGAATAGCACTTTATCCAGAGCTAATAGACAATGTTGGGTGTTTGGCTTGCAAGTTTCTCCTCTCCAAGTTCATCGTGCCACATGGCTGTGGTGCATTGGCGTGTGTCCATGTCTGATGAGTTTCTTCACAGGAAATTATGGCCTGTAATACCCCTCTGCCAACCCAAAGGCACAGTGTTCTAATTCTTCACTCCTGGAGTCATCTCTGAATGTTTCTTGTGAAGGCTTGTAAGACTGCAAGTTAAAGGTTCAGTGCCGAAGCTGAGCATGGTAATGCATGTGTCTGATGGACTGGTGAGCTCCAGGCTAGCCTGAGTTACATGGGAAGACCTTGTTTCAGAAATCTAAAAACAGCGAGCCAAGAAAGAATTGAGCCTGCCGTGTTGGCTCACACTGGTACTTCCAGCACAGGAACCCTAGCCCTAACCCTGAGCCTGAGGCAAGAGGATTGCTGTGAATTTGAGGACAGAGCAGGCCCCATGAAAAGTAGAAGATAGGTGGAGATTGCAAAGAGAGAACTTGTCTAAAAATCCAAAAGCACAAAAGAAAACAAACAATAGTGCATGCTGTTGTATTTGCAGAAAGCACAAAGCACAAAGCTTTTGAACCCCACCTTTTCATCTCAGTTTTCTTCTCAGATTCCCCAAATATCTTTCCTGCAATTTAAAGTCAGTCTCATCGAGGAAAATCGGAAAATAAGCTTTATGGTGTCATGTAGTGTGTCAGTACTATGTACAGACTGAGGACAGGAGGTCTCAGGCAAGCCCTGTTTTGGAATCATGCTGGCATTAGGATTCCCAAAAGATGTAGCGCCTGAGTTGGATTCTGGTGATGGAGGAAGGGTCTTGAGGGGAAGTAGAAAATCCTGTGTTTACAGAGGCACAAAAGAGCATGGCCTCCTCAGAGCCCCTGACCTAGAGATGGCTCAGTCTAGAGCCATTCAAAAGAACCAAACAAACTCCTTCCTACAACACATCTCTGAGGAGGCCAGATTCTAACAAAGTATCTAGCCTGTCTGGTACTAGATAACGAGCCTTCCTCAGCCAGGACATGGCTCCTGAGAGGCGAATGTGGAGCGTGGTTCTACACAGGCTTGCCATTGTTCTACTTATCAAAGTGTGCACCTGTTTCCCGTTGACCATTAAATTGTCCACATCAAATCAGGGAAAGATACTAGAATTGAAATCTGGGGAGTAGGGATACCACTTATCATTGTTCCTTCTCCTCTGCCCCTCCCCTCCCTTCTGCTTTCCTTCCCCTCTCTTCTCCCTTCCCTCTCTTCTCTTGTCCCTCTCCTCTCCCTCACATCTTGTCCCTCCCTCCCCTGATCTGAACTGCTGACCGAAGGCTTCTTTCCTTCACCTCCAATAGTGCTCATTTTAGACCCACAGTTTTCAATGTTGACATAATAGATTTGCCATTTGTAACTGGTATTTTTAAAATAACAAATGGTTACATCAGCGAATAAGGGGTCTCTGCACTGTCCTTAGTATTTTGCTGGGAAAGTAATCAATGCCTGTAGCCAGTATGAAGGTGCTAGGATGTCCTTAAAACTATTAACTTTATGTATTAATGTACCCTCAGTCTGGATAAGTCAGTTTGAGAAACTGTTTTCTCTCTATAATATGTTATACATAAAATTTTAATGTAAACATATGAAAACAGCGCTTCATTTCGGAATTAATTTTTGTGTATAGATTTTAGAAGTGTACAAGGGGTCATTGTCTTGCTAAAAACATTTGTTCTCCACTCAGGTGGTCCAGGCAACAGGTGGCCCCGAACTGGCCATTTCGGTACTCAGCCCACTGTTGACGAAAGACACAGTTGATTTCTTAAATTATACAGTCACTCCAGAGGAACGGCAGCTGTGGATGTCACTGGGAGAGGCTTGGATGAAAGTGAGGTAAGTACAGGAGCGGCTCAGCAGTCAGTACCTGGGATGCTCCGAGCACTCGCTCTGTTGCACTGAACAGTAAGACGCTTAGGCAAGATTCTGCTTTCTAAAGAGCTATGTGTTAAGGAATGAAGAAGCCGATATCGCTGAAAAGCTTAGAGTCAAGTTGGGCCAGCAAGATGGCTCAGCAGGTGAAGGTGCTTGCTGCCGAGCCTGACAACCAGAGTTTCATCCCTGAGACCCACATGGTAGAAGGAAAGAACTGACTCCATATAGTTGTGCTATGATCTCCAGATGCACACCATGGCATATATAACCCACTCCCCACCCCCGAATACACACATGAGTTGACTAAATACATATAATTTTAAAAATTAAAAGCATGATGCCAATTAAATATATGGTATACAGAAGAAAGGAATGGGACAGAAGCAGAGTGAAGAGAGGTGGACACACAAACACACACATACACACACACACACACACACACACACACACACGTTCAAGCATACAGTGTATGCTCTGCGCTCTCCATGCATTTTATAGAGATAGGTTGATATTTCTGTTTCACAGATGAAGAAATAAGGCTCAACAAGGTCAACTCATTGACCTAAAGTCACACAATATCTTAAGTGACAGAGCTCTGGGGTCAGGATTCATAATCCCTTCCCTCCGTGGCCTTTCAGTGGGATGTGTAGAGTGTCAGTAAATACTGGGCAGTTCACAGAGAAGCAGAAATGGAGGCAAGCCGCAGTAAGAGTTCAGAGCTGAGGGAGGAGGGAGGGACTTTGGGTAGTCGGTGTGTGGAGAAAGGCTGGAAGAGGAATGGTGTGGAAAAGGAGGCATCCAGAGCGAAGCAGGGTTGGCTGAGAAGTCTTCGCAGCAGGTTAAGCGGATTCTGAAGGTGGTGGAGAATGACAAGTGTAGGTTCTGCTCCCCCACCCTTCTTTTTGTCTCTAACTTTGAGTCATGTTTTTGCTAAGGAGACCCTGCAACTGTTTTCAGAGATCAGTCTGCTAGTTAGGTCCACCATAGCCAAGGGCAAAAGTAGCTATGAATGGTCTAGCATGGGCTCCTTAGTAATCAGCCCTCTCTGGGGTAAGAACCATCGCCCACTGGAAAAAAAGATGTGTGGCTAAATTAAAAATCATCGTTTGTCAGTAAAGTTTGTCCATGTGATAACCTTTCATCGTACTTTATTTGACTAAACCTTTTTCTTTTCCTGCAAATCATTCAGTGTCGTGACCAGTTACCAATTAATCTCTGGAAGTTTGTCCTTGTTCTCCTGGAGGGCTAATCTAAAAGATATGGACCAATTTATAACACATTTTTGCTTTTATTGAGATACACACAAGGCAGTCCCACTTAACTTCCTGGCCTTTGGCTACTGTATATATTGGAATACAATTTGTACTCTAAAATTCCTTAAAGTGGTACATACTATTTTTCATGTTGTAAATACTATTTGTGTTTATTTGCATACTGATTTATAATATCTGTGGACCACTAGATCATATTCTATATTTTATTATGGTATTTAGATCTTCTTTAAAAGATTTATTAGGTTTTATTTTATGTTTACATGTGAGTGCCTGCATGTATGTATATGTATGGCATGCTTACCTGGTACTCAAAGAGGCCAGGAAAAGGTACAGAATTCCCTGGACCTGAAGTCCCATGTGGGTGTCAGGAACTAAGCCTGGGTCTTCTGGAAGAACAGCCAGTGCTCTTAGCTTCTGAGCCACCTCTCTGGCTCCCATTTTATATCTCATGCTGTATTAAAGCGGTCTAGTACGTTTGTAAAATGTTAGATTTATGCTGGTTGTGATATTATGACAAGCCTGGGCTGGGTTTTTTTCTTTCCATAAGGCTCATTAAATCTGTCACATCTCAGAATACAAAAATTGCTTGGAGTGTATTCGGTGACTTTGTTTTGAGCCCTATCACAAAATCAGAAAAATTAATGATGGTTTAAATAGCTGTATCAAAAAGAAATATATAGTTAGTGTTTAACACGCGGCCTCGGTCACTTCAGATCCGTATCACGGCTGTTAGGTAATGAATGTGGGATTGAAAAGTACACAAAAGCGAAAAGAATCAAGAAAGCAACCAAACAGTTTGAATAAAGGGCCTCATTTCCTCAGAGCAGACCCAACCCATCAGAGTAAGTCAGCCGTGGAAAGTGTGGCCAAGAGCACAGTGGGAAGCAGAGCTGTAATCTCTGCAGCAGCCACTTCTGTGACTTGAGATGGACAGAGAGCTTGTGTGAACCGGTTTCTCAAGGGCATTGGCTTATGAGCGGATGTTGATTGTGACCACGGATTAGTTGATGTTTCTTACTGACAGTGAGGCTGGTACATTTAATTTGTAAAATCGGTCATCTGCTTCATTTTAGGATAGTTTTGCAGCTTTGAGAAAACCATGTACCTTCATAACAGTCTTGGATGTTTCTGTTTTCAAAGATTCCCACCCTGGCTTAATGCTTGAAGGGACTGAGGGAGAGGTGAACACTGGAAAGTTCTTTAGATGCGGCTAAGTCCCAAACTTTAAATACTCAACTGCCTTTCTATTCTTATGAACAAATGTTAAGCATCCTACACCCATGCTGAGCATCAGAGTTCAGGGAAAGTGAAGGCAACATAGAGAAACGTGGAAGCTGTGGTCATACTGCTGGGTAAAATCTCTTCTGGTTTGTTTGGACCACTGGCATTAATGGGTTTTCTTTCCTTTCCTGAGAAACAGAGTTGCTTTGTGCAGAGAGAACTGTTGACTGAGAACACATTATTTAACATATAAACCCGATGTCCTCCTACAGAGCAGAGTGGCCGAAAGAACAGTTCATCCCACCTTATGTGCCGAGGTTCCGCAGCGGCTGGGAGCCCCCGATGCTCAACTTCATGGGCGCGCCCACAGAGCAAGACATGTATCAGCTGGCTGAGTCCGTGGCCAACGCAGAACACCAACGCAAACAGGACAGCAAGAGGCTGTCCACAGAGGTCAGGATCCATCATGTCTGGTCTCTGTGGAAGCTGTAATAGTGGGGGTCAGCACTCGCTGAAGAACATTCTAGAACCAGTGACTAGATGTTACCTCCTTCCGCCATCCAGAGTTATCTCTCCTTCTTCCTTGTGTTTGTGACTGTTGGTGGGACGCCTCTATTCCCCTACCCCAGCCGAGTCACTCTCTGTCCTGTCCTGTTCCTCAGGCCACCCTGTCCCTTTTCTCTTGTCAGGAGCTTGCCCACAGGCACTGTTGACTCTCACATCTTGAGACTCTCAAGGCAGTTCCCTGAACCTAGATCCTGTTGATTCTAAGCAACTTTTTCATGATACCTTGATCTCTCCCTCCTCCTTCATCTTCCTGTCTCCCCTCCTTCCCTCCTTCTCTTCCTTCCACTATCATCCCCTCCCCTAACCCTACTGCTCTCTCCCTCTCTGCCACCTTCCTCTCTCTCTCCCTGATACTGTAGCTACTGCTTCCGCTCTCCTTCTGCTCTAATCTTCTGAAGCATATAGAGGAACCACCATTTTGTGGACTTCCATCTTTTGACAAATGACCACAAATGCATTGTGCCTGCACAAGGTCATACCGTGGCTTTTGCCTTTCAGTTATTGATTAAGATTTAGCATATAACCCTGTCTGCAGAGCAAATGAGAGGAGTGAGATTGGGCATGCTATCATGTGGATTAAAATGACCTTTTTTGTGTGTGTTTTTGGCCCCATTGGAAAGGAAAATTCAACAGCGTTTAAAACTGAGCAAATTACGAATGGCATGCCCAGGACTCATGTGACCACATGGGTGAAGACTAGCATAAAAACGCAGCAGTGGATAGCGGCTTGAAACTTCCAAAGTCCGGGCCATTCGTTCTCCTTTTAAAAAGTGTCTGATGAGCAGATTTGTAATGTGCAGGCACAATAGGAGGAAAAGCATTAGCAAACCGCAGCACAGTGTGCCTCTGACCACTTTTAAGGAGAAACATACATACAAGTTAAATTGCTTAAACTTGTTCCCCTGGACAAATTTGTTCTTTGGATGGTGATGCTATGTAGGAAATGTACTGTGCTCTGTGGGCTGGAGAGACAGCTCAGCACACACAGTGTATGTGTAAGCAGGAGGACCTGTCTCCCACCCAGCTCCTGTCACCCAGCCCTCACGATAAAATCAGGTATGGTGGTATGCACCTGGAATCCTGGAGCTGGGGAAGCGGAGGCAGGAGGATCCCTGGAGCTCACCAGCCAGCTAGTCAGTAAGGTTCTCGTTCAGAGGACAACTCTTTTAAAAAAAAGGTAGGAGCAAATAAAGGAAGGCCTTGATGTCAGCCTTAACACACATACACATATGTGTGCACTCACGACACACACACAGATTCTCATACACTCATACACGCGGTCCTCACAAACACAGATTCTTCTCTAAAAGGCAATGCATAACTTCTAAACTAAAACTGACCTACTTGTTTGAAGTCCTCTTTCTGTGAATGTGACTGTTTTCCCTCTGGCAGCCCCAAAAGGAAGACTAGACTTCACACCTGGCCTTTCCTCTAAATGTCTGAGGACGGTGACCTCACACTGGCTGAGTTGCATATGTCCCTGCCTGCGTTTGGTAGTTCAGACCTCATGACTGTGAATTTTCCTTCCATTTAGAAAACAGCCATACTAGGGAAGAGACTGATGCATACACACAGGAAATGGTTGTTCATTTGGTGTTGCCATAGTTACTTACAGCTGTTTTCAAGTCATAAAACTGTCCATCCTGTGGGCTTTATCTCATGGTAGAAAATGTGCCACTTAATAATGTGTGCCTTGGAAATTCACACCTTTGTGAGTTCTTTCACAGTGCTGTTTAAAGAGGGTATGGGATGTGTGTTCTAGGCTGTGAGTGCCTACACATGTCTACTCTGAACACGTAATTTTAAAAGAATTATTGAGGGTCCTCCCTTGTCTCGAGCTGTCATTTTCCTGCTGTAAAGAATTTCACACTTTATGATTTAAGTGCCCATTCTGAGGCTTACAGGAATGGCACATAGGATGCTTGCCAGGCTGAGATCTTGAGTGAACAGCACAGATGATGGTGACTTTGAACGCGTGAGAAGCGTGATCATTGTGGGGAGAGAGACTTTACTATCTTTTATTGCTACTAGAATAAATGCACTTGCAGTGTGTCTCGTGCAAATTCAGGATCTGGTGCTTTTGTTTGTAACTGAAAGGCGTAGGTGATGATGAACCGATGAGTGTGGAGGACGCTATCAACTTCCCTGCCTCCTCTGACCCTGCAGCAACCTCAGTGAGGCTGTGTGGTCACAGCTTAGTCACTCTCCTTCCTTGTCTCCTCCCCCTTGGCATGTCCAGTCATTCTCAGGACCTGTGATTTCCTCCTGGCCAGGAGCTGTTCTGTCTAAGAAATAGGCAAAAGGTGGAGATGCCTCTTGCTCTTTCTGACCCCGGTTGCTCAAGACTTTGATTTTTTAAAATTACCTAACTGAATTCTGTATCCCTGCTGGCTCTCTGGGGAAGGGTTAGTGTAATCAACTGATCCTAGGTGTTTAAATGGCTGCTAAATATCTGTGTATGTTTGTTTGTGAGGATCTGCTCCCACATGTGTATTCCAGGTGGGTATCTAATTGTGGATTATGATATACACCCTGGCCCACTGGAGACATTGCCTGTGGATGAAGTCAGCCTCATTCCTACCAGCCTTTTTGTTAGAGTTCACTGTTGTACTAGTCAGCTTAGATGCTTCTCAAACCTTCCCAGGTTCAGATAGGTTGTCCCAGAGAACCCATAAATAATGGAAACTCCAGGAAATTCTCCTGCCTCAGCATCCATCACACTCTCTCACATTATTTTTAACCTACAGAAGCCATGTGAAAGCTGGAAGTGAACTTTTTGGTTGTTTTCCATCTGAACATATGTCCCCCATGCCTTTAAAGTCACCATGCTCAAAGGTCACGGGCTTCAAGTCTCCCTTGGGAGTAGCCAATAGATCATAATTGTGTCAACCACAAGATAAAAACTGATTACAGAATTATCTTCTCCTGGAGTCTTGACTAACAAGGTCAAAGTTTTTTGTGTGTATCTGTTTCCTGTTATAGTGATAACAGTACAGCCATTTGTAACAATTTTACAACAGTGTTTGGGGGTACTTTTTTAAATGAAAAAAAAAGTCAAGTGATATGATTCCATTGTAATAGAAAAGAAAGAGTTTTCGTGTGATACTAGCTTCATAGGACTGTTTAAATGTGTTCTAAAACGGGGAGCAAAGGTTAAAGTCATCTTCTAATTCTATTATTCAGTGTTTAAAGTCTAATATCAAAAACATCTATCGTCGAAATTCCTCAGGAGAGAACTTCCTGATTTTATATTTAAGATTTTCAGAATTAAGATTTACCCTGTACACTAATAACAAAACCAGATCCCCCCTGTGTCAGCATAATAGCTCAATGAGCAGTCCTGTGACAGTTTAGGGCAGGGTTCTGGTTGACTGACAGGGGACTCATGCCAGCAGCACCTGGTGACACCCCGATGTGCTTCTGTCTTCCAGCATTCCAATGTGTCCGACTGTCCTCCAGCTGATGGATATACGTTCAGTAACAGCATGTACCACAGAGGACCACACGTGGACCAAGGGGAGGCTGCCATGCCTTTCAAATCAACTCCTAATCGTCATGTAGATAGGTAACACTCGACAGACGCCATGTGGGGCACTCTGGGTAGCTGAGGGTGATTCGGGCTAACAGGAATGGGGGCGGGGTGACGGGGGAATGGAGTAGGGGGAAAGGGTGGGAATTGCTTTGTTTTACTTAAGCTTTTGTCTGTTCACAATTGGATAAGATTTCCATCATCCCTTATAGACCTGGTTTTGATAGGCAGGAGAGTCAGGACATCTAGTCTGTAATTCTCAGTGCCAGTCCCCCTGGGTGGCTTCTGCTATTTTAAAAGATACATCTGACGGTGGTCTGTACAGTAGGTGGAAGGAGCTGTCTTTGAACTTCGCTGGTTGTTCCATTAGTACCCACCAGAGAATCACTAAAGAGCTCCTCTAGGCTGTGGACACTAGTCAGTGAGCAAAGTGCTTGCTACCCAGGCATGAAGGCCCAAGTTCTGATCCCAGAACTCATATTAGCACGTGTCTGTAAGCACAGAGCTCCTTCAGTGACATAGGAGCTAGAGACAGGAGGGTCCCTTGAAGTCAGAAGGCCAGCTATCCTGGTATGCAGTGAGGGACAAGAGACCCTAGCTCAAGCAAGGTGGAAGTGACAGACTAAGCTCTGCACCTGTGCTGTGGCTGTCACTCACCCACACAGTCCCATGACAGAGTCTCCTCAAAGAGTTTCCCAGCTCAGTAACCTAGAAAAGAAACAATTTCTGCCTTTTCTGCATTAGCAAAAACTAAAAACAAAATATAGAACCTAAATATAACCCCTCTTGTAGACAGAATGTTAGAATCATTAGAATAAGCCAGGTGTGGCAGCATTTGCCTGTAATCCCAGTGCTTGGCTTGACTGAGGAGTGACGTGATGAGTTCAAGGCTACATAGAGTATTATTGGCTAGCCTGGTCTATGGTGTGGGATTCTTTCTATCTCAGACTCTCTCTCTCTCTCTCTTTCTCTCTCTCTCTCTCTCTCTCTCTCTCTCTCTCTCTCTCTCTCTCTCTCTCTCTTTCTCTGTGTGTGTGTGTATGTGTGTGAGTGTGAATGTGTGTTTGCACTAGATACAATTAACTGTTTAAATAGAGACAGTATAGGGGATGCATATTCACTTAAGATGGAAGGTGTCCCAGCATGCATTTCTTCCTCCATAAGGAGCTTCAATGTGTTATTTTCCTTTAGAATCTGAGGTACGGCTGGGATGTAGTCCAGTCTGTTTATTGCTTTGCTCACCCAGCATGCATAAGGTCCTGGATTTAATCCTCAGCACCACAGAAAACCACCATGGGTACACGCCTGTAACTCAAGCACTTGGAGGTGGGTCAGGAGGGTCAGAAGTTCAAGGCCAACCTAGGATGTGTCTGAAAAATGGTAGTGGGAGCTTTGTTAAGGACAGCAAAGGGCGGTTCCCGGACGTTAGATAGTGTCACTCCTCTAAGTGTACCACAACATATTAAATTGAGTTCAAAGAAAAGTCAGCAGTGAATAATGGATTTTGAAATTACCAACATATAAACAAGTCTTAATTACTTAAAAAAAGATTAGTGCATGTGGAGGTGGCTCAGGGGATAAAGCACTTGCCCTGCAAGTGGGCAGAAGAGAGCTCAAATGCTTAGAACCCATATAAAACCTGGGCAGACATGGAGGCTGCTTATGTCTCCAGCATCTGGGAGAGAGAGACAGGGAATCACCTGGGCAAGCTAGAACTGATGAGCTCTGAGTTCAGGGAGAGGCTCTCCTGCAATATGTACAGTGGGAAATGATAAAGGAAGATGCTAGACATCAGTTTCCATAAGCATGTACACACGTGTGCTTAGCCTTCCATGTACACATGCACTGTGCTCCCTCAGTGGTCAGTAAGTACAGATTTGGTGGATTGAATGGCTGAATGACTGCGTCCGACACTGCAGTCCCCACAGTCTGTAAGGCAGAATATTACCCATGATTTAGTCTCTGCCATTGACTGTGGGAGTGTGACTCAGTGTCTTTTAAAAGCTCGTCTTGTTCCGTGTGAGCATTGTGGGCTCTTGGGGGCCTGAGTCTTTGATGTATTCACTCAACCACATCTTTCAAGATTGACTCAGAAAGGTAAAGTAACACCGTAATGAAATGCAGTGCAGATTTAGATATCTACAACAGAGACAAGAATTCTATGAACTTTAAGGACTAGCATTATGGTCAAATTATGTTGAGCTAATTATGATTGAATTCCAAATATGCCTTTGAGTATGGCCCTGAGTTCAAGGCTGGTCTGGGATACACGGTGAGTTCCAGACCAGCCGTGGTTACATAAGGAGATCTTGCCTCAAAAGCAAAATTAAAAACATAACAAAACCACTGAGCAGAGGCAGAGGCAGCGGGAATTTCAGGGTTTCCCTGCCTAACCAGTCACACCAGCTTAGCAGTCAGCCACAGCTTTTCAAAGGCAGACAAGCTCGCCTTGTGGCATGATGGGCGATTTGGCCAAATAATAGATAGTCACCTGCTACCTTTCTTGGATATAGAAACAATTGCATTTAATCATAAGTAATTCAGGACCCTTGTGTGAATCACAGCAGATCAGCATTTTCCGATGGCTTTTGCAATAATGACATATTTTCTTTACAACATGGAACATCAGTGATTCTAGCCATGGCCATCCATCCCAGGTTATAGTGATCCCAGCTGAGTAGTGGTATCAGGATAGCCCAGTCAATGACTCTCTGCAAGTTCTTTACCTGGTCTATTGCGACCCCTCTGCAGCTGCCATCATCCTGTATGCACTGCTGTGTTTGGCTAGAGCTTGTTAGTGAACTGATTCAGGTAGACCCAGATAGTTGCAAGAAGTTTCCTGTTCTTAGAATACAATCTACTCTCCTTATCTGTGCTGGTTCTTCTACAGATTATAGAAGAGAGAAACAGGGAAAAGAAAAGAGAAAGAGTGGAAATTACTATTTTTCTAACTTTTGGGGTGGGTGGATTTCTTTAACACCCCAATTAGAATCTTAGTATAGTGTAAATATATAAGCTAGCTAGCAGCAGAACTATCACAGTAGAAGAAGGAATGTAAAATCTAGAACTTAACAGGCTTTAAACTAGGATTATTCATAACATATTAATAACATAAGTCAGGTGTTGTCGTTCATACCTGTAATCTCAGCATTCAGGAATCTGAGGCAAGAAGGTCCTGATGAGTTTTAGACACTTCTGGGATATGTAGTGAGTTCTACACCACCCTGTACTAGAGTTTGAGACCTTATCATAAAAACCAAACCAAAAATGTATAATGATTAGTGGCTATAATTTTATTTTTACTTAATATGCTGAAAATGGTTGGTAGTCTGTACACCTCAATTTTTTTATCTTTTCATTATTTATTTATATATTTTTTAATTTTTAAAATTTTATTTATTTATTTTTATTTATTTTTATTTTTTATTTAAAAAAAATTTTTTTTTTTAGCCTGCACAACTTAAAATCTTCCTTTGTTCTAGTCATCGCGTCTGATGGAATGAGAGCCTGAGGGAGATTACAGACCTGTGAAAGGGTTAGCCTGTGAAAGGGTTAGCCTGTGAAAGGGTTAGCCTGTGAAAGGGTTAGCCTGTGAAAGGGTTAGCCTGTTTCTAATGCTGGCTTCTTCGAGCCCAGGAGTGACTTGCCATGCCAGCGGACCTGGATGGATGACTGTCTTTAATCTCAGTGTATTGGGTTTTTTCGTAGAGATTTGTGAGGGAATGTAGAAATGGGATTGGAGAATGTCGGGGAACAGGAGCACTAAGTCTTGGTGTTATCATTTTACTGTTGAACCATTGTGCCAGAGATGCTGGAAATAAGGATACTGTTTAATGCTTGACATTTTATCCTGTAGTGTAAAAATAAGTAATATCAAATACATTGTTGAATCTGCTAATGCTGATTATTAGAAGTGGCATTTGGTTTTTAAAGAAAATATCTTTTTTTAAAAAAATAGGGCCCATACATCAGTGATTATAATTTTAAAATCTTATAGTGAGTTAGAAACTGTGTTTTCTTCTTTGCTTGAGAAGGTTGCTGGCTGTACACTTGATGGGTCCTTCTTTTGCACTTTTGATAACTGGGCAAGGTTCTTTTTTTTAATGGTCCCCAGACATAATTTTAATGTGTTAAGTTGGTTACAAAAGGTTGCTTGAGTAAGTAAAGTCAGCATGTAACTGAGGTTGTGCATTGGATGTTGTCCACAGTCTCCTTTGACTGCACACCTAGGTTTTGCTCCTTTCATGGTAGGGATGCTGACCACCGTCACTCTCGGCCGTGTGTTCTTTCTCCTTCTTTTTGAGATGGGGTCTCACATAGTATAGGCTGATCTCAAACTTGATATGTAGTTTTAGATGACATTGAACTCGTGATCTTCTTGCCTCAGCCTCTCACAGACTGGGATTCTAGGCATACAACACCATGTCTGACCATAATATGTATATTAGTAGACAGCTTACAGGTTTAGAGTATAGATTTGGCCCAGTACCCAGTAACCTTGGAATTTCACATCATTCATCTGAACAGTAGCTTGTTCTAAAAAACAAAACAAAACAAAACCCACGTATTTATTTATTCATGCATGCCCATCCCCCACTCCCATATGTGTACCGGATGGAGGTCAGGAGATACCAGATCCCCTGAAGCTGGAGTTACAGGTACTGGTTAGCCCCCAGTGTGGGGGCTGGGAATGGAACTCAAGCCGTCTGCAAGAGGGATGCCCTCTCTCAACTGCTGAGCCATCCCTCCAGCCCGTTTGTTCAGTCAGACTAACCTGCAATCTAAGAGTCCAGAGGCTTTCTGAGAGGGTTGGACTGGCCCTCATGTTACTTCTGCCCAGGCTTCAGAAGAGCTAGTAGAATGACAGAGAGTTCTTTCTTTCTTTTTATAGAAATTATGACTCGGGCAAAACACAACCCAAGAAATATGCCAAATCCAAGTACGACTTCGTGGCGAGGAACAGCAGCGAGCTCTCGGTTATGAAGGATGATGTCTTAGAGGTAACTGGTTCTCATGGGCTTCGTCCTCTAAGGAAGTCAGTTTGCTGAATTTTTTAACATGCATCTGAGCCCCCTGAAAGAGATGCTGAGGTCAAGAAAGTGTTTCTTTGTACACAGTACATAGTGGGAATCTGTATCTCTTTAGAAGTGTTAGCGACTTAGGTTAATTAACAGTGTTGCTCATTCAAGTAAGAGATACACAGGGCATTGTGGACAGGCAAGTGCTTTTCTTGGCTTGCCTCATTGTCTTTTCTTCTGAGATTTATTCATTTTGTAACCAAGGCTGGTTATAAACTCAGTGGAGATGAATCATGATAGTTTAACCAAAGAAAACATTTCCTCTTTGAGAACTCTTGCACAAATGTCACTAGTACTGCATTTGGTAACCACACTGAGGGTAGCGTTTCTTAGGTCATAGTACAGAGTTCATTTCTTGAATGTATACAATACATTTTGTTACAATATATTTTGTTAAAAAATAGCTTCCATATTTTCTCTTTCTATTTCACAAATGGAAACAATACAACTTTCCAGAATGGCCATTTTATTGCCCTCAAATGAGGCAGGGACATTCTGAGGACATAGTATATCTTTGCTGTGGATTTGTCCTAGGACTACTTATTTTATACAAATATCAATAATAATCAACAATACCTCTTAGTGTTATTGGTCAGAACTTCAGTCACTCACGTGCTTTTATTCAGTTCATTATCAAAAGTAAAAAAAAAAACAATTCTCAAATGAAAATTGAGAAATAAGAGTTGAACGTTGTCTGTGCATGTGTGTGGAGGTTTTCTTATAGCGGTCTCTTCTCTGTTCTTTGCATGTTGACAGATACTTGACGATCGAAGGCAATGGTGGAAAGTACGCAATTCCAGCGGAGACTCTGGGTTTGTGCCAAATAACATTCTGGATATCATGAGAACTCCGGAATCTGGAGTGGGGCGTGCTGATCCCCCATACACGCATACCATACAGGTAACTTGGATTCTGGACAAAAGTTAACTTCAACAGATTTCCACAAACAGAAGTTCCATGCCTTTTGTGTGTTAATCACTTTGATATTAAATTGGTTTTATTTTTGAGAGTGACTGAAAGGCCATGTGGAGACAATAGAGAGTGGTGCATGATTTTCTGATTTATTTTCTGAGGAAACTGTTAAAGTATCCAGCAATAAGTTACTGCTCTTAGGAATCCGTTTTTCCTCACCAATTTGAAGTAGTTCTGACAAATACAAATAGATATTTTGTTTTCTCTTTACCCATCGGTTGGCTCTAAGACCGCTGGGAAGGTAAACCCCCATCTTTAACAGCCTTTGCTGTCAGAGGCTGTTAAACGTTCAGTCTCTGGCCGGCCTCACTCAGCATGCCTTAGCCATCCATGAACACATGTTCAGGTGTTACACTGTTACTCCTTTATATTAAGGTCGGATGTATCTGTGATATAGAGGGGACAGGACAGCTTCTTCCTCTGATCCCTGAAGACTTCCAGAGGCTCACACACCACAGTTTCGGAATTTTAGTAGCCTGGTCAGCTCATCTGTTACGGCAGCTGCGTTTACTTGAGCTGGCTCTCTGGAGTGAGGTCGGGCAATAGGACTAGAATGGGTGGACTCTCCATGCACCACCTCTGAACCCCAAGTAGCTTTTTTTTTTCATGTCTTAGGGATGAAGTCCTAATTTTCAATGGTGAGAAAAATCACCATTCCTGGCTCCATTTTTATTGTGATTTCATTAGCATCACTGACTTACTGACTGCCTACCTGGACTCTACTGTGAAGCACTTCATTGTTGGCCAGGTCTAGGCTTGAATACAAGAAGGTGTCCAAGCCTTGGATGGAGTCCATTATCCCGGCTGTCACACTGAGTTATCTGAGCACTGGGAGCTCCTTGTGACTCTCAAGTGTAGACCCGTACCCCTTTCCCAGAGCGATTTGACCTTATTAGAAGCCCAGAGCCAACCAAACATTTGACATAAAGAATTCGTATCAGTGGGTGTGGAGTCACATACCCGTCATCCCAGCACTTGGCCGATAGAGGCAGGAGCATCAGGAATTCGATGTCATCTTGGCCTAACAAAGTAAATTCAAGACCAGCCTGGACTGTGTAAGGCTCTGCCTCAAAAGGAAAATAAAACATTGGTGGGTTTTTGTTTGTTTGTCCTGACATGACATATGTACTTACGTATGCCCATCATTTGTCATTAGCTTTTGATGCCAAAGAAGGAATTTGAATTATTCAAGGTATGATCTGCTGTGTTTCCCGTGGATTTTTGCAGTGATTTTTTTTCTGAACTTAATTTTCCATACCTCTTCCTTCCGATAAGCTCCTACTTCTGTAAGTGTGAGATGTGGTCTTCTGGTGTAAGGCTTCTCTCAGGAGGGTGAGCACCAATCCTCTGCTTTCTTTCTTGAACGTGTTTTTTTTTTTTTTTTTTATCTTATCCTTAACAGTGATGTCATATATACTTGAATGTGTGCCTAACATCCCAAGAGGGAGTATTTGCCCTCTGAGAAAGTAGGGATTTTTAAACATTCTAACTAATGACAAAGTGTAGCTGGTGCTGTTTATAAAGAATACCCTCCGGGCACATGGGCAAATAGATCCAGGAATTTCTAAATTTACACATTAAAAACAATTACTCAGATTGAATTTTGCTTGTCTGCATGATTCCTAGGAGCAGCTAGACTGAAAATAAGGGAACTTAATGAAGCTTACAAACAGTGTGTGTTCTGGGTCTCTGTCCTCATTGCAACTCCCTGAAAAGGAGTCTGACATCCACTCTTTACCTGCTTGCTAGTTGGTCTTGCCTTTTACTTCAGCTGTGACTACTGCCCCAAACTGTGTGTTGGCTTTCCTGTTTCAGACTTCCCTCTGGCTAAAGCCAACCCAAATGATTAGTACACACCACAGGCAAAAATAGAGCATGGAGAGAACACACACACACACATACACCATCTCTCTCTCTCTCTCTCTCTCTCTCTCTCTCTCTCTCTCTCTCTCTCTCTCTCTCTCCCCCTGATTCTTTTCTTTCACAGAACCTCATATTATGTTTTTGTCAACTTTTGACACAGCCAAGATTTTGTTTTTTTAAGTATTCAGAAGTTCCAGGAGTCTGTGTTGAAACTTTGTGTAAATAGAGCCTTGTGGTCGCTGTGGCGGATTGCATGTTCTGGCTGTTTCTCTTTTGAACGTTTCCACAGTCCCTATAGAAATGTGTTTAGAAGAGTGCTTGTGGGGGTGAGCTTTTTTCCTCCCTACCTCTCTGTCCTTTTCCTCCTTCCTGACCCCTTCCCCACCCCACTTCTCTGAATGTGTAGAATTTAGGGTGAGGACCTACCATTGAAAGGAATTGAAAACTCTCTACCTAGGATCAGTGGGCTGAACACACTAGAGGTCTCATAAGTTGTAATAAACAGCCTATCTACCATGATATCACTGCATCCTTACCTACCTGATGTGACATCACTGTGTCCTTACCTTTCTGCCATGACACTACTGTGTCCTTACCTATCTGTCATGGTATCACTGCATTCTTACCTACCTGATATGACATCACTGCATCCTTACTTACCTGCCATGACATCATTGTGTCTTTGCCTACTTGCTGTGACATCACTGTGTCCTTACCTACATGACATGACATCACTCTGGCCTTACCTACCTGCTATGACACCACTGTGTCCTTACCTACCTGCCCTGACATCATGGCTTCTCGCAAGGAATTCCTATCCTTAATGAACTTGTAGTAGTTCTGAAAAGACAAATGCAGTAGGAAAGTAAACCCCTCAGAAAAATCCCCATAAACTACCTATCTCTACAACAGCACCACAGAGACCTGATCTCAGAACACCTCTCCCATTTACCGTGTGCTGAGAACAGTCACCGTGCAGTTGTTTTTAGAATGGCTCTTTTTTTTTTGCCAAAGAATGTGTCCATTTCTTGCATTTTCTATGTCCCTTTTTAATACTTTAGGAAAACTGTGCACATTACATAATAGACTGGCGATGTGGGTGTTTTGCGAGTGGCAAACCCCAGGCTTGGATGTGTACTGCTCTTCTCCCTCGCAGTGCTTTTTAAATGGCCATGGTTTTGGTTCTCATTTTCATCCCCTTCCCTTTCTGGTCTTGAAGGATTCTGGGAGCAGTCTCTGGTGGAGGCTCAAGGACAGCTCTTGCCCATTGCTGCACACCTTTTGTCTGGGTCTGTTCTGGCCACAGGGGTCCTCACGCCTGGAGCAGCACAGACTAGGTGTTGAGTTCTCACTCCAATTCCCTGTGGTTTTTTTCCATAATCCTCACATTTGAAGTGATTTTAGCGGCTCCTCAAAGGCAGAGTCCCACCTGTGTGCCTCGCCATGGCTTTGCCAGGAGTTTAAAAATAAAAGAGGAAGAGATGAGATGGAGAGTTTACAAAAGTGTTTGTGTGTATGTGTTTGTGATGTGTGTGTGTAGGCAAGTGTGTCTGTTGTGCCTATGTGTATGTGTTTGTGAGTATGTGTGTGTTTGTGATGTGTGTGTGTTTGTGCATGTGAGTGTGTGTAGGCAAGTGTGTCTGT